CTGAATTCAGAAACAGGAATAAATATAAACTTATTGATCTGAACTGTAAGTTCTGACACAAATCTTGAAGGTTCTGGGTTTGACCTTTGATGTAGTAGTGATTGTATATTGCCTAGAATTATTAAAATACAACGAAACATCTGTTCAGTGCTTCCCAGATTTTAACGACTATCTAACTAAAGTTAATTCAGGGTGTAAATTAAGAAGTAATGTTTACTTAAAAGTATTTGTAATAAAAGTAGGTGAGACTATAATTTATGGACGACCTTTGAGCAACACTAGAGTAACTTTGAGAGGGTCCGGTTAATAACCAGAACCAAATGAAGATTATAAACTTGTATGAGGAATTATAATTACGGTTGATGGTCAAAGTTAAGAATTATATTTAGGGTTTTCATCACGAACTGACATCAGCTATAATACCAAACCTCTATTTATCCAAATGGATAAATGAATTTCGCACCAAAATCCCAGACCTGTTATCTAGTAGCTGGTTGGTTCGTCCATAAGTTATAGTCCAGCCTACAAGTACTTTCTCCCGTAACATGATATATTTACTTAATTTTATAAACAATCCATCTTCCAGTATTTTTTTATTATGATTATTACAAATTTATGATGATAATAATAATCACCTTACTCAATATATGTATATTCATAGCAAAGATTCCTTGAATAGAAGCATTTCGCTTGTGAGTATCCAAAACCAAGGAACTGTGTATTAAGCGTCTTCAAACAAATATCAGCTATCACTCAAATTAATCTGTGACTGTTTACGTTCAGTTTTGTTTCCATAACATCCTTTTTCATATTTAACGTATAAATTCTATGATAGTAGCCTCTGTCATCATCGAATTTCAGAGAAAGAAAATATATGAACTACTATAGTAGTATAAGCAAAGATGGATAGTGGCTAGCAGTGGAATCCAAGACGCGCGTTTCTTCCTATTTGAGACTCGTCAGTTGGATGTACCTGCATCTCAGAGTTGATGTTCAATCTAAGCCTCCAACCCAGTACCATTCGCTTGAAACGCCATCGCGTGAGCCACTCAGCTACTGAGTCCTGATAGCCACTTGCTTGTGCAATGGGGTGAAGTTTAATTCATTTGGTATTATTTTACTTGAATCTTTCCATTGATGTTTAAGACTGCAAGTCATCAGTCAGTCTCTTATTGGCATATGTGTGTACTGTGCATATTGCATCGTTACAGCATCTTGATTTCCTCTGTTAACCACTATCCATTTTTGCTTATATCATTTCAGTTTATGCATTTGTCATGTTATTTAGTTTAATAGTTTCAAGTTAAGGTTTGATGAGTTGAATGTAATTAGTACTTGGTACCAGATAACAGAATACTAGTTACTATTTGAGAAGTATTTCGTTTGAATAAAAGGGATGTTAGTTTTCTCTTTAATTGGGTTTGAACGGTTATACCCATTCAACTGTGTTAAACATTATCCCAAGTACATTTCCTTTCAACCTAACTGGTATTTATTACTGATTGATATAATCAAATTTAAAAATCTTTTTCAAGATCTAACTATAAATCTATGACAAAATTCCACTAGTGGACATTTCACTAGTTTTATAATTCTCATATCAAATAAATTCTTGGTATACATTTTCTTTTATCCCAATGTATAATCATTTTATTCAAATAACCATTTATCATTTGTCTAATAGGGAAGTTACACATAGGGATTCTAGAATATTCATCCAAAACATGATTGGATGGAATATCTTCAGCTCTTTCTGAGCTTCTTAACGCTTCCTCGTGTTCATCTATGGACCGTTCTCACAGTTATTTTAAAATATCCATGTGTTTTTTTTAAAATAGAAACTAATTAAATTAGACTTAAGCAACTATTTATTATTCAACCAATATAATCTAACTAAGTGTATAAACAATTAATTTGCATGACTGATTTCTAGTTAAACATATATATATATACATATTATATAAACGATACAAAATGAAAATCCTTTATTGTCTTTAAAAGATTACAACATTACAACATAACGGATCAAAGAATAAATTTTCTTTTCCATCACCCCACCCCCACCCTCACTCCTAACCGCCCCACCCCCGTTAAAAAATCTAGTTAACGAAGTGTGAACTGCATTTTTACTATTATTTATTGGTTGAAATTGTTCAGTTGGAAACATTATTATTATTATTATCATTTGGCTTTTATGCCTATAGATACTAATCGGCACTTTATGTCTATATTCTTTATTTATTTATAAGAATATTTACTGTAATCTTTTTTCCTTTTTTTAATATTCAATTCGTTAATTACTATCAAGTAAAATCATTATAATAAAGCATACATACTTTGTAAACAACATTTACTTTGATTAAATTAAAAGAACTAATGATAGATATTGTTGTAACACTTGAATTAATTACAATTAGTGATATGGAGACAAAGTAAAAATAAAACAATGTGTATATTAGTAAAACTAGGAGAAAAATAGCCTCGAAATATAAATGAGCCATCGGCAAGAAAAAAACACATTAAATATTTCATTCCAAGATGGATAATGGTATTCAGTTTGACGCGCGTTTCGTCCTATTCGTGACTCGTCAACTAGATGTACTTGAATTTCAGAGTTGATGTACACTCTGAGACTTGAATTCAGTATCGTTCGCTTCAAACGCCATCAGGTTATCCACTAAGCTACTGAGTCGTGATAGCCACCTGCTTGTGCAATGGAATGAAGTTTAAATTCACTTGGTATTGTCTGTTTGAATCTTCCTATTGGCTATATCGAGGCAATACGCACAGTATGCACATATGCTAATAAGAGACTGACTGATCAACTGCACCCCTAAACATTGATGGGAAGATTCATATACGGTAATACCAAGTGAATTTCATAATAGTTGTTTTTAAAAAAAATGTTCAAATTATGTATTATATATGAAGAGATGTGAGATGTAAGTACCAGTTTGGATGTATTGTATAAGTGTGTAAGTTAGAACAATTTACTATCAATAATAATGTGTACTCAAATTACACTTTTTGTTTGACATACATACTAGTCTATTGAAACCTTTTTTTAGATAAGTGACTAAACATTTTGAGTATCAAATGGAAGTTTTTGTAATCGTTGAATATTTTCAGTAAAACTAGTAAGATGAAATCAATGAACAGATTCAGAACTGTACAAAGTAATTGTCTATATTAAAAGGAAGTGAATACAACTTGATGATAATAGTGTCTCTATGACAGGTATGATAAATAAATGGGTTTTAATTTAGCCATTTCAAAAATCTACATAATATCCTGAAGTATTCTTAATCATTTCATGGTTCAATCAACAATCTGTTTGAGTACTTAAGAGAACATTTTAAATGTACTTTATGGGATCAAGTCTCTAAACAGAAACCAGAAAGAAAGATAACGATTTTTAATATACATCTGCTATAGTCTATTCAGTTAATCGTTATTTATTTCACTAGTAAATATTCGCCTAACCCTTAAGGAAAGTTAGTAAATCAGATTTTTATTCTCTTTCAAAGGAATATAACGTTGATATATTAATCATTGTAGACAGTCATCACACTTTTCAAATCACAATCATAGAATAAAATGAGTTTATAAAAACTTAGTCAGTTATAAAATATATCCTTGTGTGCCAGTGTAATTTTACATTGGTTTTCAAGAGAACCAGACACCATTCAGACTTTCACGTGACAACCAAAACAGTACAGCTCAGTCCAGTTTAACAGGAGAGCCAGACATCGCCCAGGCGTAAAGTTTGTTGCTCAAATATTACGTCTCAATCCCGTTTCCAAGAAAACCAGACACCATCCAGGCTTAAACTTTATGACCCGAGCAGTACAGCTCTATCCCGCTTCACAGGGGAACCAGTCACCGTATAGGCATTAACCCTACAATCTGAATAGTACATCTCAGTCCTGTGGCGCAACCTCACAAGTACCAAGAACCTTGGTGGACCATTCGCACTATTCATATATACATTCACATCACATGTGTAGTTATTACGATCAATGATCGCATGAATCAATTATGCACAGAACGAACAGGCCAAAGTTGTTCTGTTCCACTTACACGATAGTCAAACTGATTAATGTTAGCCTTAAAATGTCCCAATGACAATGGCCCTTAAGAACACTGAAAAGCAACTACCAGTGTGGATGAAATCGGTTAACCAGCAAACCAATTTTGTGCATGAACAGTCAGCAAAACTTGCCAAAGTAATGCCGAACCATCCACAATATCAATAGCTAACCTCTAGTGCCATATGGGACCTTCAGCTCTACATAGCAATATAAACGTAACAGCTTTTATAGAATAAAATACAATATCAATAGCTTTTAAGTTTTAAACAAAGAGAAAAAAGAAATTATAATCAGAGAAGAGGTTTGTGGAGATTGTAGTAATTTAATAATTGAATTCATGAGACAATTGAAGCTAGACTACCATGGCAAACCTGGAAGTACTGAACGACCATTTCTTCCTAGTATGGGCTCCTCAGCAGTGCGCATCCACGATCCCGCCTTGTGAGATTCGAACCCAGGAGCTATCAGTTCATGGTAAAAGAAATTGTTCAAACAAATTAATCTAAATAACAAAAGAGACCTGTGGTATCATTGAAAAAGAATAAAAAAACGTATAGTGAATAATAGTCTCGGCGAGACTATAGTTTATGGACGAACCAATCACGTTTAAGATAACAGATTTTGGACTTCGTCGCGAAATTCATTCATTTATTTGGCTTGATAGACTTTTGACATTATAGCCGATATCGGTTCATGATGAAAACCATAAATCTAATCCCTAACCCTAATCATTAAGTGTGAATCATAATCCTTATCCTTCAGATTGCTTTATGACCCTCATTTAGTCCTGTTTATTGGATGGACACCATAGCCACTTGTTTTTTGACAGTTTCACTTAATGTAATTTAATTTATATTCAATGTAAAGTATTCAAACAACACTTGCTCAATATATTTTCTTTCATTTTAGCAAGAACATCACAACTTAAAGACAAGATTAAGCATGTTCTACAAACGAATAAAAGACTATATACTTCTATGTATGCTTATTACCTTCTTAACTATTTCAATATCTAAAGCGAAATACTCTAAATGCAATATTGGAGCTTGCGAGTGAGTTGATTCATCGCCTATTTCTTGTTTAATCATTTGCTTATTTAAACACATAAGCATTGGTACAAAAAGGCACCAAATAGATATGCGCCACATAAAATCATTCGACTTGTGTGACAGATGGGATACTGCCCGTGTACCCAAACCGAAACAGGTCGTTTTCTTAGGGGGCTACACCCTAAGCCTTTGACCTAAGGGTTTGATCCACAAGACAGTAGAGCAATGTCAGGAGATGCAGTCCCATGGTATCCGGTAACCAAAGACTGGTTCATAGGCCATTTGTTCCATCAGGATCTTGGGGCCGGCCCATGTACACCATTGGTTTGGAATCAGGGTTTTCCAACTTTCATAGGTAAACTCTCCGTATTCACCAATCCGGTTAAAATACCGAACATTCGGTCTCCGTCATCTCGATTTCGTAAACGACGCCCGTTGTGCGAGGAGGTGGTGAGGCGGACTTCTCTGTGAGTGGTTGTATGTACGTGGTCATTTAAGAGCATTTAGAGCGAGAGAGCTGACTACCTCCACTCTCATCTGTACCAGGGCATTTGGGGGCTAAGACAATTGAGCATGCGAGAATTCGAACTTGTTACCTTCCGACTCATTCCTTAAATTATTATAATAATTATTTTTGATTAAGGTCCATGCATAATTGATTAATGTATTTTATAAAGATCATCTTCAGTCTATTTTGACCATCAATTATATGTTTGAATCATTCTCTTCAAGATCACTCACTGTACACAATGATTGTGGTGAAGATTATATTCAATACGTAAAAGTGCAACTTCATTTATGCTTCTTAAAAATAATCATTATGATATAGGTGAAACGAGTATCATTTAGGTGTTCTATATAATAAATAAGGCTCTTTGAATGATTGATATTCGTTTCGTATTATTACACTAAATCTGCATTTATATTACCTTGCTTGATCGCCCTACAAACGTTTGTGCAGTTCAATTTTAAGGATAGGTAAAGTCAAATGAAAAGTTATCAGAAGAAATGATCTCTTTCTAATATCGTTTTCTACACTAACAATCACCCAAGATCTAATTTAGGGCATTCACTTCTCAATAGGAACACGATATTATCGAAATAATGAGTCCAAATACAATGCTCTACGTTTTCAGATTCAATCCATTCGTTCGGTCATCATCCAAACTCACATTTACTCACTATTCATAAACATCATATACCAATATTTATGAATTCTAGTATACTATTTATGAGCTTGCTTTGAAACTAGTATGGCGCGTTACTGAAGATTAGTGTATTTAACGTTTACTTAAAGGTTTACGAAGGCAAATCACTTTTTAATACTCATTGTTTAGATGAAATATATTGGTGAGACTACAATTTATGTACGACCTTTGAGCAACACTAGAGTAACCTTGAGAGGGTCCAGTTAATAACTAGAACCAAATGAAGATTATAAACCTGTATGAGGAATTATAATTATATTTAGGGTTTTCATCATGAACTAATATAAGCTATAATGCCAAAACTCAATTTAACCAAATGCATGAGTGAATTTCGCACCAAAATCTCAAACCTGTTATCTTATATGTGATTGGTTCGTCCATAAATAATAGTCTCGCAGTCATATTGTTCAATTTTTATTTACTTAACAGTAACCTGAAACCTTTTATAAATCAGTTTTGCAAGAAGTGGTTTACAATTGAAACAGCTCAGTGATGAGGAATTCGAACTTATAAGAAACATCATTTAGAACTTCGTTAAGAAATCCCTTACTGATCACTATCAATCAGCATGAAACCTTTATTCAGTTCTTCCCTCTAACTTCCTCCAGTAAACTGGCATTTCAGTCTTTTGATATATGATTCTGTAAATTACTAAATTTGAGTTTATAGTTTTATCGAAGTTTAAGGTTTTCGAGTAACCTCGTAATTTAGAGACCGACACCATAAAAAGCTTACGATGTTTCAATGTTTCAATTACAGAATGACATTGAAATCTTCAAGGTACATATAAAAATTGTTACAGTAATGTGAGTCTAAGGTATATATCACCATGCTAACTTAGGAATGATAATATTAATTACAAACTGCATATTTAATACATTTCCAGAGTATTATACAAGTAAATCTAACAAAATTACGTCCTTTATAATTAACATAATTCACTTGGTGTTGTTAACTTGAATCTCCCCATTGTTATTTAGAACTGCAATCGATCAATCTCTTATTGACATATGTGCATCCTGTGCGAATTGCCTCGATATTAGCATTAGAAGCAAAGACGGATACTGGCTAGTAGTAGAATCCAATTTGACGTGCGTTTCGTCCTATTTAAGACTCGTCAGCCTGATGTATCTGGATCTCAGAGTTGATCTTCACTCCGTGACTCGATCCCATTACCATTCGCTTCAAATGCCATCGCGTTATCCATTTGGCTACTGAGTCCTGATAACCACTTTCTTGTGCAATGAGGTCAAAAGCTTTATAAACAAAGATGGACAATGGTTAGCAGTGGAACATAATTGTTCATATATCTATACATTTTTGAAATTATACTTATATTATTGTTACCATGGATAAAAAATGGATTCACATATAATGTATACTTTGTTTTATATTTTTAGACGATGTGTGTTAAGTGAACAAATTTCTATGAATGAATGTTGTTCCAATCCTTCAATTCATGATGTCTGTAATTTTTGTGATCAAAACTCTGAAACAGAAGTCGATATATCTGATTGTCTTTGTAAGTAACATTCTTTTGTATTTCTTTAATTCATACCTTTAGTTTAATCAGTTATTAACTGATAAATCAATATTCTATTCTGAATAACTTAGTGATTAAGGCATAAACTACAGTTTCTTTCTCGTGAAACAGGGTTTCCTGTAGAATAGCTCCAAACATTTAACATTTCAATATAATGTATATGATGTCAAAGCACTTGTACTAGTATCCAGGTTGTAACTTGATTAACGGAATCCGGTAGGTACTTGACAACTAGACAAACATGACTTTAGTCACTATTCATGAATCAAGGAATTGTGCAAGTGTGGGTCTGAAAATAACAATTAATTCATCTTTAAATTAATTAAATAAACAATCGTTTATAAATCATACTTCATTGAATGAAAACAATGATAATATATTGTATTATTTCAAACATTTATTACTATAGGCCACATCTACTTCGTGTTTCCATTTTAATGTGCTTATTAGTGAATTTGTCTATGTATAAATACAAGTTAATGATTTAAGATTGTATTACGTTACAGTCAATGGAAGTAATGTTGATTAATGTACGTAATTAACTTTTCGAACAATTACTTTAATCATAAACTCAATTACTGATATGTAGTTAAAGTAATACCTCAAATTGATGTCATTATTTAAACAATATCGTCTTTTATACTATCGAATATTAATTTTATTAATGATAATCATGAACTCGTTAGTTATTCACATCGAGAGGTAGTTTCCAGAGTTCCAGTCAGAATCCTTGACTGATCGACTTCAACCATGTCAGGTATGAGACAATTATTCATCTCTATCAATAGATGATTTCGTACTACCTCAGATTGATTGTATTTAGACACGTATACTATTGGATCCTAGCTCAGTGATCTAAAGGTTGAACTCTCGCCGTGAGATAGAAGTCCACTGGTTCGATTGTCAGTAGGATCGTTGATTTAAAAACCCAGCATACTAACAAATATTTAAATATAATAGTTATTTCTTTGGAGTCCATGATAGTTCACATAAAATCCATGACTTTTCAAAGTGTAGTCACTTATCTGCAGATATTCAGATTATCCTGATGTATTCATCCTAAAACCTTACTAAGTGTTTCAACTATTACAAAACTAATTGACAGTTAGGTCATCGGTTAGAGAATCTTCATAAGATTTTGAGAAAAATATGGTATCACTCTTCACCAGTGACCAATTTTCATATTCTACCTGATGTACATACGTGGAAAATGAAGTATCCAATATGAAATGCAAAAATTAATCACAATAAGAAACATGAACCCTACTGATATTGTTTAGTTCTCTGGTCTCTTGTTATTCTAGACAAAATCACCGTCGTTATATTCATTCATCATTAAGCTGTTTAGTTATTCCTTGAACCTTGAAAAATGTAGTTCTGTCGTCATTGTCTGTGATTGGTTGTTCTCGTGGATTTCAATTATTTTCATATTTCTTTATTCAAGTTAAAGTTCTTGTTTGATTGAATTACATTCAGTTTGTTGATTGACCTTTTAAGAAAATGTGTGATAGACAAGGTATAATTCCGTATATTTGTCGATTGTCGATTGATCTGATTATTATGTTTCCAGAAATTCCCTGATATTCTTAAAATTTCCCCAACCCAGAATTGTAACTCTACCCGTCAAATTTACGTCTGTACTCGTCAGGATAAATCGATTCCAATGACAAAATACCGTGTGATTTTACTGATAGTTTGAGTTCATAACGCAAGTAAGGAATTTACTTTTACACTATGCTCTGATAACGTCTACAGAAACAATGAAAGCTCCTTTGTAAAAGTTATCTTGCTTAAAGTGTCTAACAGTAACAGAAACATTAACCACAGCTTCGATACATCTCTAGCATAGGAAACCTGTCACAGGAATTCTGGTCAACACATCAGTCTGCCCACTGTGGTTCAGTAAACACAGCAGTATGATCAGTATAACATAGTGTAATATCACAACTAGCAATGTTTCCAGGTTTGTTATAGTGACTTCGAGGAAAAAACACAATTTTGGTTACTTTATGAAGATATATCATTAATTCTATGAGTTCGTGTTCACATGGACTATTTTTATTTAGTCACATTTAATTGGATATAAGTAATAAATTCATATGATCAGCTGAAAAGAACTGATTAAATTCTGTGAAATCTTTATGTTCACACTACTGAAAAGCCTCATAGTAGTGTAAAGATAAGAATGCATACTTCAAAACTATTCCTCGATACACTAAACATTGATGAGAAAATACCGTGAGATAAGAATAGTAACCTACTAAAATATAACAGTTTGAGTCGGTCAATTAAAATATTATCAAATTTTCAGATTATAAAGTATAACATCAGAAGAGATTTTGTGGATATTATAGTAAATTTTTAATAGTTGAGATCATGAGTCAATTGAAGGTAGACTATTATAGAAAACTTGAAAGCACTCTACGGCTGTTTCATCCCATTATTGAACTCCTGAGCAGTGCGTATCCACGATCATGACTCACAAGATTCGAAATCAGGCTCAGTGGTCTAGTCATTAAGTACTCATGTGCAAGATTGATAGATCCTGGATTCAAATCCCGCGAGTTGGGATCGTGGATACTCACTGCTGAAGAGTCCTGCAATAAGACGAAACGGTCATCCAGTGTTTACAGGTTTTCCACAATGATCGTCTAGCTTTAATTGACTCATAATCTCAACTATTAAAACTATAGAGTCTAAGTTATTATGATATAAAAAGGAAAAAATAATAACAGATTGTATAAAAGACTTTAATGGTGTTACATTCTTTGAGCTGGATAATCTAATCAATTTAACGCTCATTATGGTTGTTGGTAAACATTTATATTTAATAATGAACGTATTTGTTATTGAATGTTTATTACTTTGTCTAGTTAGATTATTATAACATTACAGATTCAAAATAATTACGTAATTGAATAATTGACAAACAAAAAACAAACAAACTAAATAATGAAATAAAACTGTCTATTCCCATTAATTAAATATAAGAGATAACGCCTTACCGATAAAGAGGCGTTAAAAACTATCATGCATATTATACTACTACTACTACTTGTTATTATGCATATTCGTGATGTATGATTGATGTTAGATAAATCAAAAGAAAAAGAAAAGGTGAACAATACGTTTGAAGTTATTCCGCTAAATAGTTTTCTTTTTCTGTGTAATGAAGATATAAGACATTAATGAAATCTATACAGTCAACGAATATATTCGCAAAAACAATCCGACTATCTATGAAAAAAAGACAAACGTAGTTTATCAGTTCGAAACCGACTCTTTATCCTATTATGTTTATTTAATGAATTTATAATGATCAATTATACTTATTTATTATGATTAAAATTAAAGAATTGATGAGATGATTCAATGAGATTGAAAATAACAGGTCTTAGATTTTGCCATGAAATTCATTCATCCATTTGGCTGTATAGACTTTTAGCATTATAGCTCATAGTAATTCGTGATGAAAACCTTAATCTAATTCCTAATCTTAATAATCAACTGTGAATTATAATTCAAATTTCTCACATTGTTTCATAACCGTGATTTAGCCCTAGTTATTAGGTGGAGACTCTCAAGTTCACTTTAATGTCACTCAAAGGTCATCTATAAATTACAGTCTTACCGATTATTCTTATTTAAGGTTATTATTAAAAAACAACTATAATTATTACTTTTAATTGAGATTACGAACCGACTGATGTTAGACCACCATTGAAAACCTGGAAGCACCGGATGGTCGTTTCGTCCTATTTTGAAACTCCTCAGCAGTGTCTCCCTCAGTACAATGGAAGATGGTCGCGCAACTTCGTGGATTGGTTGCGGTTAGACATTAACACCATTGGATGCCAGCTCAGTGGTCCAGTAAGTTAAGCGTCCGCACGCGAGACCAAAGGCCCTGGGTTCGAATCCCTCGAGCAGGATCGTGGATGCGCATTGTTGAGGAGTCCCACAATAGGATGAAACGGCCATCCAGTGCTTCCAGGTTTTCAATGGTGATCTAACATCAATCGGTTCATGATCTCAATTAAAAACTTAACAATCTCCACAACCCCTAAACTGATATTATTTTTTTCCTTTTTTTATTTTAATATTTACAAATTTCAGCGACCTATTTTCGAATTATGTTAAAAAGACGAGGAATGATTGGCAAACGTCGAGGTTTTATGGGTTAATTTCAATGAAGTCATATAAAGAATAGAAAGAACTACTTTTAAAGAGAGAGAAAAAGTTCTATATTATTGAACAGTTTATATACATAATACATGTAATTCATTTTATCACCTTTTATCAATTAAAAATTAGTTATAAAATGAAACATTTCAAATGTAAAAAAGAATAAAGTTTTTGAATAAAACGTCTATTCATTCTAAATAAACATTAAAAAACGATTAGGAATTGATGAAATTTGAAAGATTATTCAAGAATAGAGATTAAGTGCTCGCATGCGAGATTGATAGGTCTTGGGTTCAAATATTACTGGGTGGAATCGAGGATGCGCACTGTTGAGGAGTCTTATCGTAGGATGGAAAAAGCTGTCCAGTTCTTCTAGATTTTGGATGGTAGTCTAGCTTCAATTGACTCATGAATTCAACTATTTAAATATAAAACAGTGGAGAAAACTATTGTGTAGTAAATTAGACTGATTCTCATTAACTAGGGAATGAATATTTTATTTACATAGTTAGTATGGTAGGAAATTCTAGACAAGAACATATCGAATTTCTCATTGATCTTCTTCAAATATTCATTTATATTCGTTGATAACATGAACTGATGGATTTGTTATTCCTAAATATACTTACTTACTTACGCCTGTTACTCCTCGTGAAGGAACATAGGCCGCTCACCAGCATTCGCCATCCAACTCTGTCCTGGGCTATTCCTAAATATGATAAACAAAAAATAATAATAATAAGCGTTTGCGCACGAGACCGGAGGTCTTGGGCCCGAATCCCGTGACTAGGATAGTGGATGTGCACTGCCGAGAAGTCCCACAATAGTACGAAACGGTCAGCCAGTGTTCTCATGCTTTCAATGGTGATATACCATTAATCGGTTCATGATCCCAATCAAATACATAATAATCTTCACAACCCCATATTTTTGATCGACAATATCTTTGAAGATATCAAAATGACGATAGGAGAAAATTAAGCATATAAAATTTTATTCGTGAGTTAATCCATCAGTAAAACTATGAAAAAAGCATTGAAAATAGGAATATGTAGAAGGCTGAACCCGATAAATCAGAAATTAAATTATTCCAACAACAACTTATCGGTACACAGAACATTTTGTATAGAAACAGTATTGTAAAGAGTTAAAAAAAGCCCATATTCTGACTTTTTTCTATAGAAACGGCTATCCTCCTAGCTCTACTAAACGACTCTGGTGAGTCAGTTTACCGTTACAAATCACCTAGAGAAATCAGATTCAATAATAATATAACAGTCATTGCAGTATTATTGGAACCTTTGAAATCAATGTTCGTCGCATTTCAATACAGCAAACTTACTTCACGTTATACTAAAACAACAGTCATAGAAAGTCAATACAACATTATCTACTAATTAAACTATATCATAAACGAAGGTACTGCTTTAGAATAGGTTTACTCATCTTTATATCTACTCATAGACAAATATGAACTAGCAGTGAAATGACGCTTATTTCAATACACACAGACAAATAAATATTTTCGAGCTTGTAGATCGAGGACATTATGAAAATTCGGGAGAATTTCTTGAACTATGGCATTTAGAGTAATCTCCAAAGAACGAAAAACATCGACATAGACCCAGTTTATCAGATAATATAGAATGAGTCAATAAAACATTTGATCAGAGGTCAACCAAATAGGAATACTCAATCAAAAATTCCATGAAGTGCAATGATATCAAAATCTATGAAATTGACCAGTTAAAAACTAAGTTTTAGATTATTTTAAAAATCACACTGTTACTTCAAATAGACGCTATTAATGTTGCTTTGAACAATGAAAAGTTATTTATTTCATAGAACAGAATACAACCAGACCCATTCATTTCAAAAACATTTATTTATATATTTAATAAGGTCCTCGTAACGTAACGCTTGTACTTGATGAGTTATTGTAAACCTTAAGCATTTTCCTTCTCATCTACAAATTCTGATGAACTTGCACCTTCACATCTCAAAGGATAGATATAGATAAGGTAGTAAGTAAAGTGAATGGTCTATGTTCCATCATCTTACATTCTAATTCTCTCTGCATGACTTACAATGCTAATCTACAGATATATTCATCATAGGCCAAAAATGCCAACTATACATCTTACTAATCATTTTCAAATTTCTACACAAGTTCAGAAAAGAATATAATGAATATTCAGTAAAGTTAGAAAAGACATCATCTGTTTCACTTGGTATTATTTACCAAGAGAATTTAAACTTCACTCTATTGCATATGTAAGTGGCTATCAGGGCTCAATGACTAAGTGAATAACGTGATGACGTTTGAAGTGAAAGATTCTAGGTTCGAGTTCCGGGATGAAGGTCAACCCTGAAATGCAGGTACACTCAGCTGACGAGTCCCGAATAGGACGAAACGCGCGTCAAACTGGATTCCACTACTAGCCACTATCCATCTTTGCTTATATCATCTGTTTATTTAATAAGTTATATGAAAATGTTTCCTCAAAATTAACGAAAGATACAAGAAACTAGAAGTCATCAAATAAACAAAATTACACTATGACGAATGAAATTTCACATGCTTTTATATAGCAGAACCATCAATAACACAGAAATCGCATTATTAAGTAAATAAACAAATATATAATAAATAGTTTATAGTTAATAGTCTTATAAACTGTATCTCTATTTAAGCAATCTATACGACTTTATATTTGCGTCTTATATATCTGGGTCACCCACATAGTGTATATTTATTATTTGCGAAAAGCTTAGTTTAATTAATTACGACAGCTTAAATTAAGTTGCAGAAATTGTATTCAACCTAGTTGAACACGTTTGATACATCTGTACATTAAATTGGTAGGTGTAACTCAATCATCGTTGAGGACTAGGTAGGCGTGATGTTGCTGGTGAAACATGAACTTCCAAGTTAAAAACGATATATGGCTTAGTTAACATCTACTGATTTCCAATCCAGAAAAAAATCAAACTAATAATAATAATAATACACAAAGCTGTTTTATTCAAGAGTAATAGCAGTTTCCAATCATTGATACTATAAAGGTTGTTCGGTAACAATGTTAATTATAATAGTTCAAAATAACAACAGTATGAGCAAATATCGTCCACTCATTAACTGGATATTCCTACTGACTTTAAATTTCAACCACGTATTGTAAAAACACGACACCAAATTAGCTGCAAGCAGAGCTAGAAATATAGAGATGTTGAAGCTGTAGAACCAAAACTTGGTATGATTGGACAAAACCAATGGTTTCCGTTCTGCAGTTCCATTAACCTATAACATTATTACCACTCAATGATCAGTCAGTACAGAACCCACGGTCCTTCTTCAATTAAGTTTCAACTTGAATACCACAGTGATAATATCGCTGTCTGTGGCATAGTTATGAAGTTTGAAATCTCATATTAACCAACAATCTGCTTAGAAATCCAGATATACGATACTAACAATCACCTAATGGCTTTCTATCGCTTAATTGACAATAAAACGTTATAAACATACAATTTATTTGTTGTTGTTTTTTGCAAGAAAATAGAATTTCTATGTTAAGTAAAACAATCTAAGTAACATAAAACATGTAATTAATCAATATGTATTGAAGTTGGGTTAAGTATTTACCGTTTTTTTTAAAAAAATCTCTATTTATAGTTCGCTGAAATGATGTTGTAAAGAGATGAAAATTACATACAACTACTTTGAGATTACCTCCTACACATTTAATGAAAGCTCATACCACACTTATTGTATAATTTATATAAATGAATAAAGATCTATCTATCTATTACTGTACCATATATAAGTAGTTATTTTAAGTAGTCTAGAAATTAGTAAGTGAATTACGATACAAATTAAAACTGATAGATTGTAAGTAATGAAAAGACTAAGTAAATATTAACTTTATTAACCTTAACCGATGACAAAGTGAAATGAAATTTAACTTAAGAATCATTAAATAGTAGCAATATACTTCACTGAGTTACTAATCTGTCTTAAGTAAATTTGTTGGTCAGCCTAATGTTTTCATTACTACATGATTCAACATGTAAATTTTTATCTGCTGTAAATAACAAAAAAAAGGACGAATTATACTTAAACTGTGATAGATATTTGATGTGAACAGAGAAAACAAGAAGCACTGACAAACTACGAAAGCTAATTTTGGGGGACGTTGTTTCATTTAATCAAAAACTTGTAATACAGTGTTATTTATTTTTCTCCCTCGTCTATTCTACAGATCATAAGCTTTCGTTTGATGTATGATTCACTGCCATAACATTTTCTGTTCCAAAGCTATTGTAAATTAAACGCAATCTTTTGTGCTCTATTTTCTATTCTGATTCCCAGCTTTGGACATAATTGTATTTTCCTAATTGTTTGAGTGTTGTGGTCTGGTTATTCATCTATTTATTCATGCATCTTTTTGCACTATTCTGAATCGGAGAGCGGATCGGAATTGGGAATAAATCGTGTAGTATTTCAGTTGACTTGTCTTCTCTCACTCGCGTGCTTGTCAACCAATGTGATAGAATAGTTTCCGTCTCTGTACCCCAAGAAGTTGATCTCACTTTGAACTCACGCACATAAGCCTCAGGTTAGACAAATTATCCTCTGTACAAATATAAGTAGACAGATCAAGGACGTAACAATATTAAACCAAAATTCAACCATAAATCCTTGACCTTGATCATTATTTACCTGAATAACTTAAAATGAGGTATTCAGAGTTTTATGTTAATTCAATAAATGTATGCTTTTAAAGACCGCTACATCTTCTTGACTAAACCTCTATATTAGGCAATTCAACTTACAACTGATACAGCATTTGTCTTGATGGAATTTTTATTATATCCCGATGAGAATAATGAATGGTAACTTTTGGGGTCTATTTATGGACCAATACGGTATATATATATATTTATTGTAGCTAAACTTATCATAAGCTTTATTTTGACCTGTAAACTGTTATTATACGAATTACCATTCTCGAGTTATGCTCTGTCTATCAATTACTATCTCCCTTATTCACAGACACATTTGGCTTGTAGGGTCAGTGAAATGTCACTGAGCCCTAGCCAAATCATCCGGCAGTTGGATCACTGAATGCCGAACAGATCATCGCTCCCTGCCAAGGTCAAGTACGACCAACGCGCATT